CCTGGGGGTCCTGCTGTGGCTGTTCCTATAGGTGAAGGTGGTGACAGCACTTGTGGTCCTCTAGCTCAGTACTGTGTGCCTTACAGACATGACTCAGTTTTTTTAAAAATTTATTTTATTATTTTTTGGAAAAGGTGTTTTATAGTCCAGGTTGGACTTAAACTCACTGTGTATCTCAGGTTGGCTTTAAACTCATGGCAATCCTCCTGCCTCAGCCTCCTCTTTGGGGGACCTAGTTGTGCGGCCTGAGTCTCCCAGTCCTGCCTGATGATTGGCCCAGTTGGTAGCTTTTAGAAGGCGAAAGTCTCCAGGGTGTGTAACTAGCAATGGCAGAGCTGGGATCTGGATGTGCTCAGCACTGTCGGTCCTGTGGGGGAGGGGACAGAGTGTGAGCCCCAGGGGACAGGACCAGGCGGCAATGTTGTTTGTGTGACTGGATCTGCTCCCAGGTGAGAGAACAAACTCAGGACAGCCAATTGCCTGGACTGCACAGGCAGTGGCAGGGCCAGACTGGGAGATGGTCACGTGTCCCCTTCCCTGCACCATCTGGTGGCCGTGGCTTGCTTAGCAGTTTAGTGGAAGGTACAGGGGCACCAGCAAGCTTCCCTTGCCCCAGCCTGGCCGGAGTGTCAGTCTGGCCTCCAGAAGAGCCTCAGTTTGCTGGAACCACTTCTTGACATGGTGACTGCTCATCAGGGTCAGAATAGGGCTGCCATTTCCTTCTAGAATATTCCTGTGCATCTGTCGGCTTGGAAGAGAAGGGCAATGGAGCATCCATCCCTGCTGTAAGGGAAGAGCGTAGTCTGTGCCTCCCTTCAGGGGCCTGTCCTGTCCTGAGCACATCTTGTCCCCAGGTCCCAGCTGCGGCTTTCACCAGACACCTCGCAGGCAGTCTGAGGGGTTTCTTAGGGTCAGCTCCCCACCTCAGGAGAGGGAAGTTGGCATTTGGGGTGGTGTGGGAGAATGGAAGGGGATATTTGAGCTTTCCTGGGATCTCGCTTAGGAAATAACTCAGCACCAAGTGGTTTTGGGTAATTTTACTCTGTGTGTCATCTGTAAGTACTGAAAAGGCCATCTGCCTCGCTGTGGTCAGAATGAAGATCTGCAGCCCCTGGGAGGAGAGGGCTTCCTGGCCAGCTCACCTCTCAGAGGATCCCTCTCACAGCACCCCTGGATCATGGGCGGCTTGTTTCTGCTTTGTGGCCTCCACAGTTGCAGCGATCACCATCTGACCTGACCAGGCAGCCCTTTCCCTCCTGACGGCCCTGTGGGTTCAGTGTCTTCTTTGGTCATCCTCACTTAACCTCTGCTCGGTGCTGGGGTCTGAGATCTGGATTTACCCAACAGCCTTGCCCCTGTGGTTGGGTGGAAGGTGTCCTCACCTCGTGTCGCCAGTCCCTATGGGACCGGAAGGTGGCCTGGCCCCCACTCTCCTGACTGCCCTGAGCTCCGCTCTATACCCACCGTGTTCCCTCTTCCTTTGGCTGCCCCAGCCTCAGCCCCAACTCCAGGCTTCTACTCTTCTCAGTCCTGCTGAGCCCCTTAATGGCATTTTCCTGCTGTCTCCTCCTCTTGGGTCTTTCTGGCAGCTCCATATGTGCCTGTGCTCCCCTAGGTCTCACCTGGTCTTGGACTTGCCTAGAATGGCTTGCCACCTGCCGTTGGGTCTGTGTCCCCCTCCTTTTCAGGTGTACCCCCTCATCCTGTGGTTCAAATGCAGAAATGAGCTGTGTGCCCTCAGAAGTCTCCCGAGGTCCTTATGCTGAGAGAGGACCCCTCACTCGGGTGGGTGGCAGGTGAGCTCCCCACTGTGCCTGGAGTCTGCCTGCCTTGCAGCCCTGCTCCTCCTGCTTTGCACTACAAAAGACTGGACAGTTTTCTCCTTTTATAGAGTCTTGCTCCCTACTTCAGATTGCCCCAGAACTCACTGTGTTGTCCAGGCTGGCATTGAACTGTGGCGATCCTCTTGCCTCAGCCTCCCAAGTGCTGGGATTACAGGTGTGCGCCACCACGCCTGGCAGCATTCTCCTTTGTGGAGTTCCGGACCCCCCACCCTAGCCTGTCTTCTGCCTGTCCCCCCATGCTGTGTCCAAGCCACTTTTACTGTAAGAGCACCCCTCAGCCTGGCTCCTGTCTTTCTGGAACATGTCGCAGTCCACCTTACCCCTCTCAGGCCTTGAGGAAGCCCTTGCTTGCTGTCCACCTCAGCCTCCCGCCGAGCCTTCTGGTTTTCTCACTGCCTTAGAGTTTCCTGTTTAAGTTGGCAGTGGGGTCCCGAGAGCTACCTCCAGGGTAGGAATGCTAATATAAATACATCTGGAGAAGGGTTCCTGTCCCCGGGGGGACAGGGGATCCTGTGCAGGAAGGGATCCTGTGCACACCCTGTGGCCTTCAGCTTGGCTTTCGGCCTTGAGCTAACCATCCCAAGGCCCACAGTCCTCTGTCTGCATCCCTGGGCTCATCGAGATCAAGATCCATTTGCCTTGAGTTGGGAATCATGTGGATGCATGGCTAAGACATGAATTTCTAGCTGGGTGTGTTGGTGCATGCCTGTGATCCCAGCAGTGGGAGGCCAAGGCAGTGCTGAGGTTACAAGACCCCATAGTAGAAAAAAGAACCCACTGAACTTACATAATTATTTGAGATGGGCTCATACTGTGTTGCCCAGGCTGGTCTCGAGCTCCTGGGCTCAAGAGATCCTTTTGCTAGATGGGTGTGGTGGTGGCGGTGGCAGGCCTGTAATCTCAGCACTGGGAGGCTGGGGCAGGAGGATCACCACAAGTTTGAGGCCAGCCTGAGTTACACAGTAAATTTAAGGCCAGCCCAAACTATATAGCGGACCCTGTCTCAAAATGAAAACACAATTTCTAGGAGCCAGGACTTAAGCTTTATTTCCCAGTGTCTCTGGAGTTTCAGACTGAAACTGATGATTGTAGGCTTCCACACCTTCTGCCTCTAGCTCAGAGTTAGCGTCTTGGCTGCCATTCAGGTGGACTAGTGTCAGCTGAAAGGGCTGCCCAAGGTTTTTTGCGGTCCAGAGTTGCCTGTCCAGAACAAATAACAAAGTCCTGATTGAAAACGATTACTGTGTCGAGTTCCCAGAGGGAATAAGCTCCCTGCAGATTATACTTGTGACTTGAGTGAGGGTAAGCAGTATTCTGGAAACCCCATCGTCTGGGGTCAGTTGTAACCAGTTCCTGGATGAGATCATGGCGGAAAATAGCTGGGTCAGAGTTGTACTTCGCTGGGTATTTATTGGTAGGTGTGGGCAGTGACAGTTATTTGTCCCTGTCCTCCTTGGCGAGTGCTGTCCTGGTCCTGATCTGTTGTTTCTGGGCCCTTTCTCTTGTAGCCCCTCATGCCCCTCTAGGCTCCTTTATACAGACTCCTTTTGGTAGCTTCTTGTCCATCACTGTGATAGAACCAGGCACCGTGTATTTTTTTATTCTTGTTTGTTTTCTGAAATAGGGTCTTGCTGTGTAGTTCAGGCTGGCTTTGAACTCACTGTGTAGCCCAGGCTGGCCTCAAAGTGGTGATTCTGCTTCAGCCTCCTGAGTGCTGGGTTATGGGTGTACCCCACCAGGCCCTGTCAGGCAGTGTGTCTTGCTGGGGCCTTGGGGGAGCCCCGGGAAGGCCTGGTTGGGGAAAGTTGCTGGGTCTTGGGGTTCCCATTTACAGTCTGCTACCCCGTTCCCCTCCCTGAGGCCTTACCTTCCCGCTCATTTTCTGGGCCCTCACCTGTTCCCTGCACCTGGCACAGCCTGGCTTGGCCCCATCCATGGTGGGCTAACCAGATTGAGCCATCTGGGGACCATGTGATTTGCCCCGGAGATGAGGAGCTGGCTTGTGCTTGTCATTTGGCACTGGGAGCAGGAATGCTCCCCTGGGCACCTGTCAGTGATTCCTTTGCTGGCATTCGAAGGGGTGGGGTACAGGTGGTTTGGCTTGACCTTTTAGGGGGACCTCAGACTTTGCCTGAGTAGCTTGTGGAGGTAGCGGGGAAGTGTTATGTCCCTCTGTCCTGGGGGAAGTCCCATCTACCTGCTATGTGTGTAGAGTTGTGCTCCCCACTGGATGGACAGGCAAAGCAGCAGCAGGCAGCTTGGCTCTGAGTATTATCTTGGTTTCCTCTCAGACTCTGGCCCCATGTGTGAGTTTGGCTTCATGCCGTCCCATGACTCTCTGTGTGTAGTCCACCGTGTCTGTCTTCCCTAGTGCTGTGGAGCCTGTTGTCAGTCTGTCCTAATCCCTCCTGTCATGGACTCTGCCTGGGCCTTTCCTCAGGACCACAGCTGGTGACACACCATATGCCTAGTTTTGAGTGGATGGGTGTTCATCTTATGAGTGGCTCACGCACCTTATTTTCTGCTCGTAAATGTGTTTATGTGCAGAAACTCACACAGGAGAATTAGGTTATATAAAAGTGTTCCACTTGAACAACTTCAAGAACCCTTGTTTGAAGCCAGCCATGGTGACTCACACCTATAATCTCCACACTCTTAAGTGGCTGAGGCAGGAGGTCCCCAAAGTTCAGACCCAGCCTGGGTAATTTAGGTACATAGTGAGACCCTGTCTCAAAATAAAAAATTAACTGGGAGGGGTGTATCTCGGTGGGAAGGTCCTGGAATCAATCCTCAGTACTAGGGTGGCTGGGGGGATCCTTCCTTGTTTGATGTAATAAAGATGAATCTGGGGTTTTGGCTTATAGGTTTGGTTAAAGAAAAAACTAATTTCCTTTCATTCTACAGAAGTGGAGGTGTTTTTATTCAAATTATCAGTTTTTTTCCCTATGATTGCTTTCATTACTTATGGAAACTTTAGCTCCGAAGGAGTCACAGGCGTGGTACTCCCTAACGCTGGGTTGTTGGAGAAGTTAAATGAACTAGGTCTCCGAGTCCCGTCCGCTCTGTGACCTGACAGGGCCAGCCACGCCGCCCTGGGCAAAGAAGCGGCACGCCCCGGCTGTGGAGAGTGCCCCCTCACACTGCTTTTCCTTCCAGCTCTTGCCAGCCCCGTCGCAGACCTGAGAAAATGCTCTGGAGGCTCAGGGGTACTGTGCCAGGACCTCAAGACCGCGGCTGACTGCGGGGCGGTGCGGCACTGCCGGCAGACCGTGTGGAGCAAGCCCCGGGTGGTGAGCCCATCTCTCTGCTCCTCGTCCACTGCGTGGTGGGCGTGCCCGTTTCCCCACCCAGGACCCCTGTACTGGTTGCAGAGATAGGATGAGGTTGTGCAGGCCCCACTCCCATGTTTGATAGCCTTCCTCACGCCTCTCAACAGGCAGAACGCTGGTAGGAGGCCCTAGTGCTCAGGAGCTGGTGACAGTTCCCCCAGTTCCCCTGCCTTGGTACCAGGGATTGAACTCAGTACCTTGTGCTTGCCAGGCAGGTGCCGCTGAGCTACATCTCTGGCCCCTACTGACATTTTTTTTTTCTTGAGGCAGGGTCTTGCTTTGTAGGTCAGGCTGGCCTCATTCCCAGCAGTCTTCCTGCTTCAGCCTCCCCAGTGCTGGGAGTGCAGACAGCTGTGCGCCACCACACCTGGCTCTTTATTGACAGTTTCTGTCTGTAAGCACACTGGGGAAGATACCCCTGGTTTTTCATCTGATGGTGTTAAGTGCACCATGATAATGAGGCCTTGGAAACAGCGTGTCTTCCCAGTGCATCCTGAACCCCTCCGCCTGAGCTCTGCTGACCCCAGAAGGAGGCAGATCTGCTTTTGGCTTAATCTGGGCTTGTGATTGAGTGCAGTTTAGGTTCAGAGTTTGTACATCTTCAGTAAGAGAAGAAAACTTGATTAAACAATGCTGCTCTTTCAGCAAATAGTTTGTAAATTACTGGAAAATTGCCTTCTGGGGCCATAACTGAAATGGGGCCATAACTGCTTTCAGATTTGGTTTCTTACTTGCATTCAGTCTTGTTTTGAATATTAATTCCCTTTTTTTAAGTTGAATGTATACTGAATGAAGATATGAGGACTTTTTTTTTTTTATTTTTCTGGATTTTTGAGACAGGGTCTCACTTTGTAGCCCAGGCTGGCCTTGAACTCATGGTGATCCTCTTGCCTCAGCCTCCCAAGTGTTGGGATTACAGGCGTGAACCACCACACCTAACTTTTTATTTTTTGGTATGGGGATCAGATTTGTGTCCTTGGCACCTTTGAGGTAAATCCCTGGCCCTGTTTTTTTTTTTTTTTTGAGACAGGCTGGCCTTGAACTGTGTATTCCAGGCTGGTCTCATGACCCTCCTGCCTCAGCCTCCTAAGTACTGGGTTATAGGCGTGTTCCACCAGGTTTGGCTTGACTTTGTGGACTGGTCTCATGGTTCAAGCTTGCTCTTGTTATGGTCCCACACAGTAGTGCCTGGCTTGGTCTAAAGGTTGCATTTGGTTTCCCTGCTGCCATCAGCTTCACAGGTGTCCTGGCCTCATCCCGACAGGCTCATCCCTCCTGCAAGGGTGGAAGTCTGTGGACACCGACGGAGAGCCTGTGCTTGGCTGCTTAAGCGCTGCAGGCACGAGCTAGAGTTTCCAGGGCGCCTGCCCCAGGTGGCAATCAGCCACCTGGCTTGGCGAGTGTCCCTCATGTGCACATAGCACTGCCTGGGAGCAGGAAGTAAACCTAAGCCAGCAGCTATTTGGCCCTTGCTCCCTGAGACACCTGCCGAGAACTGTAGTTAAGTCAGTCACATTGCCTTCCTGAACCGTCCCCTCTGGCCCTGTAGGCGGCCAGGAGCCTGACGTGTGCACTCCACAGGGCAAAAGGGGCCGTGTGTTTGGCAGAGGCTCACCTGCCGTCCCTCTGATGTCCACGGTATCTGCACACTACTCACAGAGGCGGGCGCCAGCTTGGAAGGTGGACCTGGCCTTGATCCCCACCATGAGCTGATGATAGTGGGAAAGGGTTTGGGATTGCGGCAGTGCAGGGTGTGGGTGGTGTCCCACAAGCACAGCTCTGTCTCTGTTTCCTCTTAGAAATCCCTCCCGTGCGACATCTGCAAACAGGTCATCACTGTGGCGGGCAACATGCTGAAGGACAATGGCACTGAGGTGAGCTGCTGAGGTGGTTTTGTGGGCCCAGGCCAGGTGCCTTGGTTCCGCGAGAGCTCTGCCCCTGGCGGAGAGATGGGATCAGGCCAGGGCTGCAGACATGTGATCTGCCAGGAGCTGTCTTAGACCCCTTGGGCCACATGACATTCTTAGAAAGTATTGTCCCACCCTACAAAAGTCAGCGGAACGGACTGATTTGCTGACCTCTGGACAAAATATGAAACGCTTAAGGTTAATTGGGATTTTACTCGGCACACCATTAACATGTGGAAGTGTGTGGCCATCACTTTTGCTTTTTCTGCTCAGAATTTTTTTTTGTGTGAGGCCACAGGTCAGGGTCATTTTGAATTTTCACTTTTTTTTTTTTTTTTAATGCCTGTTTTTGTTGGTGGAGACCTGGGTTACCGAGAGTTCTCTATGGTCTTTACAATTTTTTTGATGCAGGCTAAGTTGCCCAGGCTGGCCTGGAACTTGCCACCCTCCTGCCTCAGCTTCCCAGGTAGATGGGGTTGCGAGTGTGTGCTGCCCTGCCTGGCTCTCTGCTGACCTTTTCCCTGAGGGCTGGCTCTTTTGTGGGCTTGTGCCTTCTAGGAGTTGCAGAGGGCCCCCTGCCTTCAGCCCCCACAGGGAGGAAGCCCTTCCTGGTTCTGACCCTTCCTTGTGTCCCCTGCAGGAGGAGATCCTCTCTAACCTGGAGAAGGTCTGTGACTGGCTCCCAAACTCCAACCTGTCGGCTGCGTGCAAGGAGGCGGTGGACGCCTACCTGCCTGTCATCCTGGACATGATTAAAGGGGAAGCGGTAGGTGATGGGGAGAGGGCTCTTCCTCCAGGGCACGTGTAGGGCCCCAGAGGTCACTGTCCCCAGGATGGTTGGAAGTGAAGGTACATTCACAGCTTCCAGGTTCTGCGCTCCTCGTGTGCTCTGCCGCCGCGGGCTGCTGTGCTCGCAGGGTCGCGGGTACAGGGAGGATCGCCGGAGGACTGTCAGTCCCCGCGGTGTTTGGCTCCACTTCTCTGAGTCTTGTGAGGCACAGTTCCGGGTCCAGTCGGAGTGAGCTCAGTGCGGTGTTGATGTGCAGCAGTAATCGGGTGGTCCCGGGAGGAGAGGCGTGTGAGCCGCAGTGCAGCCGGTCAGGCACGCGTGTCCCGGACAGGACCAGGGTGCTAGTGAGGAGGCCTGTGAGGTGACCAGGAGTGGCGTGGCAGGCCTCCAGGTACTTTCGAAGGGGATCCTTAGCTCCCGAGACTGGGAGCTGCCCCACAGGGGACCCCGGGAGGACACCCCGGGGTGTGGCCCTGTGAGGAGGCACAGGGATGCGGGAGATGGATAGCAGGAAGGGGAAGTAAGTGTTGGGATGTCTTCTGGTCTCTGGGAAGGTAATGGCGGAGCCATTTGCTGAAGTGGAGGTGGAGGGGCTGCTGAGGCTGGAGCATGGGGAGGCATTTGAAACCAGTGGGGTGGGCGAACTGGGGGCCGTGGCTTAGAGTCCGGGACTCTCCCCTCCCCCGTGCTCCTTTCTTTGAAGGAAGAGCTTATGTTGAACCTGGAGACTGCCGTGTAATTGGACACCTAGACGATAATTTTCCTGCAACCCAGATAGAGTGAGCAGTTTGAACTTGTACAACAAAGTTGTGCTTTTTTTTCTTTTTGCAGCACTGGGGATGGAACCCAGGATCTCTGACATGCTAGACAAGTGCTCTTCCACTGAGCCACACCCCAAACCTTGTTATTTTGAAACAGGGACTCACTAAGTCATGCAGGCAGGCCTTGAACTTGGGACCCTCCTGCCTCAGCCTCCCAAGTAGTTAGGATTACCAGCATGCACAGCTGTGCCAAGCTAGTTGTTTCTTTTTTAAGGGTTTCAGGAGAGAGACTGGTTCACGGGCACAGGGTGGCCCATTGTGTGTGCCTGTGGGGAAAGAACTCAGCCAGTCTTTCTTCCCCAGAGCAATCCTGGTGAGGTGTGCGCCGCCCTCAGCCTCTGCGAGTCTCTTCAGAGGCACTTGGCGGAGCTGAACCACCAGAAGCAGCTCGAAGCCAACAGGATCCCGGAGACTGACCTGTCTGAGGTGGTGGCGCCCTTCATGGCCAACATCCCTCTCCTCCTGTACCCTCAGGATGGCCCCCGAAGCCAGCCCCAGCCCCAGCTGAAGGTGAGGACCGGGTGGAGTGGGGGGTGCAGGTGAGGTAGGACGGTGGTGGGGTTGGGTGCGTGCAGGCCTGTGCTTCCGGAACCAAGGGTCCCCCCACCTGCCTGCAGGTACAGGACTGCCTTTGTGTTCATTGAACCATGCAGCACCCCCACCCTGCTTTTTGCGGTACTGGGACTTGAACTCAGGACCTTGCACTTGTGAGGCAGGCGAGGTGCCATTGAGCTAAATCCCAGCCACCCCCATGCCCGCTTTTTGAGACAGAACTCACTATGTAGTCCAGGTCAGCCTTGAACTCATTGTGTAGCCCAGGCTGGTCTCTACTAATGGTGGTCCTCCTGCCTCAGCCTCCCGTGTGCTGGGATTACAGGTGGGTACCATCAGGCCTCTGTGTAGTTTCTAAAGAATGGGATATTTCAAATGAAGATAGCCACCTTTTTCTCATTTGTTTGGCTGCTGGGTGGTTCCCAGGGTCCTGTGTGCTGAGCACCTGCCCCACTGCTGAGCCCCCTCCCCTGTACAGTAATGGGACTGCAGCGAGTACCCAGTGGTTGCAGACCCTTCAGTGCTTCAGAGCTGGTGCTGCCAGCTAGGACCTGCGCAGTCAGTGGCCCCAAGTTTGGCACTGGGTAGGTGGTCAGCCGGGTCCTCCTCGCTGCAGTGCTGCCACCTGACTACTTCCCGCAGGCCAGTGGAGATGTCTGCCAGGACTGTGTACAGATGGTGACCGACATCCAGACTGCTGTGAGGACCAACTCCACCTTTGTGCAGGGCTTGGTGGATCATGCCAAGGAGGAGTGTGACCGTCTGGGGCCTGGCATGGCCGACATGGTGAGCTGCGTTTCCTGTGCTGTGGAGGTTCTTGAGCCAGGGAGCTGGGCCCTGGAGACAGGAGTGGGGAATGGAGGAAGCATCTGGTGTTTCCTGAGCTGCTCCTTTTTCTTTTTTGTGACAGGGTCTCACTGTGTAGTTCCGGCTGGCCTTGAATTCACTGTTGGCCCAGGCTGGTCTCAAATTTACAGTGATCCTCCTGCCTCAGCCTCCCTCCCATTATAGGCTTGTGCTACCATGCCTGACTTCTATCATATTAAAAGTCAGTCTGAGCAGACATTTATAAAACTCTAGGAAATTTTTTTTTATTTTGAGACAGGATCTCACTATGTAGCCCAGGCTGGCTTTGAACTCACAGTGATTCAAGTGCTGGGATTACAGGCATGCACTACCACACCTGGTGGAAATTTTCTTGCTAGTAGTTGGCACTGTTGGAAATGCTGGTTTGGTTTCTTGGGTGGGCAGTTGTCGCAGTAATTAATTTAGCTGACAACCTGTTTCTCTCCCCACCAGTGCAAGAATTATGTCAGCCAGTATTCTGAAATCGCCTTCCAAGTTATGATGCATATGGTAGGTGGCCAGGAGCCCCTGTTAGTCTCTAGCTCTAAATGTTGTTTCCAGAAACTCTGAGCGTTGTTTCCATCTTGAGCGTACTAAATGGACCCTGACGTACCCCTCCGGCCAGCAGACTCTTCACTTGCAGTCTGGTTCCTGCCCCTGCCTGGAGGCTGAGCTGCCCGTGCCCCGTATGTGTCTGACATTTACCCTGGGGCCCGCAGAAGCAGGCTGCTGTCCAACTACACCAGGCTAGAGAACGGTACATCCTGAGTTCAGAGCAGAGCAGGGGAGTCCTGCCTGAGCTGCCCCAGCTCTCACTGCGGTGGCATCTAGAGCCACAGGGTGGCAAGCAGCATTGAGATAGACAGCCCTGAGTTTGTTCTCAGACACAGAGGTTCTCACACTGCCTGTCACCTGCTTCATGATAAAGTTTTTCTGGAGCCCAGAGACACTCATTTTTGCTCCTTCAGCACCCAGGTCCCTAGAACCCAGACCTTGTGGCCCACAGAGCCTGCCATTTCCTGTGGGTCCTTCTGCCCACGGCAGCCATCCGTCCACACAGGCGTTTATTGTGGTTCTCACCCTGCCTCCTCATAAAAACGTTGAAAGGCAAATTACAGAGCACATGCTTGTAGGAGGGACAACAAGCACACCTTTGGTGTGACTTGGCCTTGGGAACTAGTGCCTCTTTCCAGTTAACTCCAGTATTTTCTCTCTTAACTGCAGTGTAGGAATGTTTTGAAAATAGGAATACTTCCCATTATCAAAAATCATTTGGGGAGGGCTGGGGATTTAGCTCAGTGGCACCGCACCTGGCTCGAAAGCTCAGGGTCCCCAGTCTGATCCCCGATACCAAACAAAACAAAACAAAACAAAAATCACTTGAGGGCTTCACAAAACACCGGTGGGGCCATATTTTATATCTACTTTACAGACTGTAGTTTGCATTCAGTCGATCAGTACATATTTTTGTGCAAGTGATTTTTACGTGGCCACGTACTACCACAGTGTGGATGGAACACTTTCAGTAACCGTTCTCCCGTGGCTGGAGGGATAGATTGTTTTCACATTTGTCCTTGAAATGATGAATCTCCCTGTAGCCAAGTATCTGTGGACATCCTGTTTTGAATCTGAGCTGAATCCGAGCATGGTACGCTGTCAGATTTGCTTTTGGGGCAAGCATCTGTGTCCTGTGGGGAGGCCTGGGGACGGAGTCCGCTCACAGGTGGCCTCCCTAGGACCTTGGTGTGCAGTCCCTGGCGTGATGATATTGTGGGATGGAGGGGTCAGTGTCGGTAGTGGGAGCAAGGTGGGTTGTGGGTACCAGACTGCCAGTCATTTCCCCTAACTTCTGTGACACTCCCACACCTGGTTAAACTGCTTGATTGTTTTAATTTTTCTTAACTTTTGTGTCCTTTCCTTTCTCTTATTTTCATCTCCAATTTCCTGTTTTTTTGTTCAACAGCTGGACCAGGTATGTGATGGAGAATTTGCTTTTAGTGCGTGATCCCTGCTGCTTCTCCCTAGTTAATTTGCTCCCCGCTTCCCCTTTCCCCGGTCTGGCGGGTCGGCTCTGACAGATACAAGGAATGGCTATGAAAGGAGAGGGTCTCTCTCTCCTAGGCACCCTTCCCCTGAGATATAGCACTTGAGGTGTTGGGTATCCGATCTCCTTCCGGAGGGGTGGGAAACGAAGCCAGCAGGTCCCTGCTCTGAATGCATGTGTGTAGCCAGCACTGTGATCCCGGAGACCATTGTGGCCCCGGAGACTATTGTGGCGCAGCTCCCCTTAATGGTAGCCTGCTTGCAGGTGCCTTGTGTCTGTCACCCTCGAGTGAGCATTGCTTGTCTTCAGTGCTGTTCTCTTACTGCAGAGACACTTTTGCTGCATGAGCTTATTAGCTGCAGGGTTCCCCTGTGCGGTAGATCCAGAGAATTGAAAACACTCTTGATCTCAGCTTCAGGCCTCTGGTTTAGATTCCTGCGGGGTGCTATGAGAACCACGCCCCAGCCCACTCTTGGGAGCTGAGTCCTCTAAGTTCTGAGCATTGGCATTTATGTCTAGGATCAGAGCTATAGATGCTTTGAAACAATTTAAAGTCTTTATGGGAGAGGACACGGATGAGGTGCCTGGATTTTCACTTAGGCTTCCTGAATCTTGGCTCCTTTTAGAAGCTCACTGTCTCTTCAGCCTTATTACCCCTGCCATTCTTAAGCTGTGCCAGAGACACAGCATTTGAGCTGTACTTTTTCCAGTCCATCCCTCAGCTGTATTTAATTTTTGAGGCTTCTTGGTAGTACAGGGTGAACCATAGCAGTAGTTAAGCCCTCCTGTCTTAACAGGCTTCCAGCCCAGGGCTCTGTGTCCTTGGCTCATTCAAGGCCTTCACGGTGTCAAAGTCAAGATGTCTGAACCCTGTCCTCCTCTGTGGCTGGTTGGCTTGGTGATAAGAGGGATCAGTCTGAAGATCTTGTGATTGAAGTGATTGTTCATCACTTGGGAGATGGGGTCTTATGCATACTATGTGCAGTTTTGAACACAGAATGTGGATTTTTAAAAAGCCAGCATGTCTCGTGTCTAAGTGCTCTGTCCCTGGACAGGAGGCCTTTCAGTTGAATCTGGAATCCCTGGGTGCGGGAAGTCTCTGGGGTATGTCCCAGCACCCGAGTTTGACCTCTGGGACTGCTGAGGGCACTGGTGCAGGCTGTGTCTGACGGTGGCCCTGTGCTTTCTCCAGCCACCCAAGGAGATCTGTGTGCTGGTTGGGTTCTGTGACGAGGTCAAGGAAGTGCCCATGCAGACTCTGGTCCCCGCCAGAGTGGCCGCCGAGAACGTCCTCCCTGCCCTGGAGCTGGCGGAGCCCCTTGAGGTACCTGGTGTCCTGATTTTGCACGGCTCGGACTGCGCGACACCCTGCCCCTCTATCTTGTGTCACATCTGAGTCACATATTTTGGGTCCCTGCCTGGCTTCTAAGGGTCTTGGCATCTGAAGCCCCTGGATGCCTCTCATCGCACAGCCCCCACCCTGACCTGTTGGGAACACATTTCATTTCTTTGGTTTTGCAGCAGGCCATTCAGGTGCCTGGCTCCAGCCTAACCTTTCACACAGACTTATTCAGTGTTCCCAGAACTCCCTTCCTGGGGCTTGGCCTGCTGCCTGTGCCTGTGTGCAGCTGTACATGCTGTTACCTAGATCTCCTTCCTTGGGAATGAGCCTGCTGCTCCATCCTTTGATGAGTTTGTTCAGCTCTTCAGGTAGCGATTGAGGACTGGGTGAATAAACGATGTCCTCGGGCTCATGGGCCTGGCATCCTGATGCCTTTACACAGTGTATAGATACTTCTTATTCCAGGACATCTGAGGCACTGACCATCTGCTGTCCCCTGTCTCCTTCGCACGGGCAGTGAGGGTGGACACAGGAAGAGCGAGGGCTCAGGTGTTAGTAAAGGGCCACTGCCTCTTGCCCCGGAGGTGCCCGAGGCCCCAGCCCACCCTGTCTGCCGAGTTCATTGCCAGAGAACATGCTGAAGGTCACAGCTTTTGCTTGCAGTGGAACACAGTTAAAGCTTCCATTCCTTGGTTAGTTACACCAACTACATGGAGATCACTGTTAGACACGTGTAGCTGGCGACTCCTTTCTGGACAACTGTCACAGAAAGTTCTACCTAATAGTGTTGCTGTGTTAAAGGTCGTTTCTAGAAAAGCAGTTGTAGGTGCTAATGGGACTTGGGAAAGTTGAGAGCAGACCCAAAATGTGTTTATGACTCTGCCTTTATTTTTTTTTGTTACCAGAGATGGAACTCAGGACCTTGTACTTTCGAGGCAGGTGCAGTGCCACTGAGCTAAATCCCTGGCTCTGACTCTGCCTTCTAAGTAGTAGATGAATGCTGAATCTCATTCTGTTCCTGCTCTGCTATCTGTGAACACAGAGCAGTGTAAAAATGACTCTTAACTACACAATATGGACAGGTCCTTGGGTGGAGAGCAATGTGGAGGGGGATGATTGCTACCTCCTGAAGTGTGGATTCCTGGAGTTTTCTTAGGGGGTAACTGAGGAAAGGGATGATCCCTCACCATGTAACAGTCAGGAATTGAACCTGGAGACTGGGAGGGAGCCGTGCATCATTTTGGATCCAGTGGGCAGTGGCTCTTGGTGTGACACTAAGGTGCCTCAGTCCCTGTGTCGCCTTGTCTTAGGAGCAGGACCCTGGGGCACGCATCCCAGCCTTAAAATATTCTCTGCCTTTTATCAGCGGGAGCTGATCCGGGCCCACGACAGTGTTGTGTGCAAGGCGTGTGAGTACGTGGTGAAGAAGGTGGTCGAGATGATAGACAACAACAGTACTGAGGTACACTTCCCTCCTCAGAGGGGAGCCTGGATTGTCCCCCGGAGCCAGAGGCCTTGGTGGCAGAGGGGGTTTTGGCCCTGCTGAGTTTTTGTGGTGATGGGGATGGAACCCAGGTTCTGGTACTTGCTAGGCAAGCACTTCACTGCTGAGCTGCACCCCAGCCCCGAGCTGGCTCCACCTGTGGTCTCTGTGGGCCAGTGGTGGGCGAGGGTACCTCTGTCCTGCTTGTCACTGTGGCGTTTTCCGGGGAGGGAGCAGCATCTCACTGTCTGCCAGTCTTCCTGTTCTTGCCCAGCCTCCTGTTGTAACAGGATCCTCTCGTGTGTTTCAGGAAGAAATCATCCATGCTCTGGACAGTGTGTGCTCAGTGTTGCCTGAGTCTGTGTCAGAGATGTGCCAGGAGGTGGTGGACACATATGGCACCTCCATCGTGTCGCTCCTTCTGCAGCAGTTGAGCCCTGAGCTGGTGTGCGGTGAGCTCCACCTCTGCATGTCCAGCAAGGGCCACATTGGCCAGCCTAAGCTGCCCATGCTGCGCAGACCGCACGTGCCGGCTGGTGAGTCCTGGGCCCCGCAAGGGAGTGGGCTTCGCTGGGGTCTGGGAGGGCCTTGCCTGCACTCAGTCCTGTGCCCTGGTGTGTAGCACGTGTGGCTCCACTGAAGGACGGTGGCTTCTGCGTGGTGTGTAAGAAGCTGGTCGGCTACCTGGAGCACATTCTGGAGAAAAACAGCACCGAGCAGGAGATTGTGGGCATACTGGAGAAGGCCTGCGGCCTCCTGCCCGACCCCTACCTTGAGCAGGTATGGGGGCTGGGGAGCTTGCTGCGCTGCTTACTGGAGACTGAGGGACAGTGGCTGCTGCCGCTCCAGGCTTGAGATCCAGGGTGTTTGCTTCACAGTGACCTCTTGGCTCACAGTAGGCAAAGAGCCTTGGCTCCTGAAGCCAGGCCTGGTGTGAGGGGCTGGGAACACTGGGACGCTGGTAGAGAGTGTCTAGTGCCTACCTGGCCGCTGGTGGGTCCACTCTGCTGGGATGCACCCAGACCTGGACACATAAACTTCTCCGTGTCCCTTTGGCAGTGTGACGAGTTTATGAAAGCGTATGAGCCCGTGCTGGTGGAAATCCTCGTGGGGATCATAGACCCAGCCGAAGTGTGCCTGGTAAGCCTCATAGGCGAGCACCTGCTCCCTGATGTTGTCACTTGGGAGGGCCTGCTCTTCCTGGATGGCTCCCGAGCCTGATTGTGGCTGTGGGGTGGAGTGTGGGGAGCTGGGCGGACAGGATGCCAGGCCTCTGAGCTCCTGCTGTCTGCATCAGCCCTCTGGTCTGGGTGCTTCGATTCCTGCTGCTTCTAGATATTACCCTCAATTCTGAAAGGGAAGAGTTACGAGGTTCTCATTTTCCCCCTTTTGTGCAATATAGAAAATTGGAGTCTGCACGTCTGCTCGGAAGCTTCTCTTGGGAACTGAGAAGTGTGTGTGGGGCCCCAGCTACTGGTGCCACAACATGGAGACAGCAGCGCAGTGCAATGTGAGTAGGGGTGACCCCGCCCTACCCCCAGCCTAGGGGTCAGCTTCCACCATGTGTCCCAGTACTCGGGAAACAGGCTCAGGCCTGCCCAGTGAAGGCAGAGCTGACTGCATCCTGGTCTAGGGAGTGAAGCAGGGTAGACATGTCTGCTTTCCTGCTCTTTCCCTGGGGTTAGGTGTGCATGGGGTCACACCAAGGATTGCACAGAGAGCCCCAGGGTTCGTGAGAGAGAAGTCCTCTCGCATCTCCTTGGCACACTTGGCCTTGCTGGAGCCTGGTCTGAATTTTCACTGGAGGTCAGATGAACTGTTCTCCAGTGGGCCCAGTGTCGGCCCTGTTGAGCAGCTCCCGGTGCCACGGCTGTCCTGGCTATGCAGCCACCAGCTGGGGGTGGCTGGTGCTGCTTTCCTGGGTGCGGACTTTGGGCCTGGAAAAGGCCAAATGTTGCTTAATGTTGCTTTATGCAACTTTTCCTTCCTCCCTGAGGTTCCTTGTGTCCCCATCAGGGAAGATTAGTCATTGTGGCCACTGCAGGGACAGGCAGAAGCCCACACCCTGCCAAGTGCAGGCCACTGCCCAAGGTGTGAGCTGGAAACCTGCCCTGGCTGTTGGATGCACTCTGGCCCCTGTGCAGCCAAGCAGCAGCAGGCAGGGGCTGTTGTAAACGGTAAAGAGGCCCTGCCTGGGCCCTTCCTGTGGTGGCCCATCTAGAGAAACCCCAGTGCTTTGTCTGTATCGCCCTGCTTTCCAGAGAGGTCCTGTCTTGGGCCTTCAGCATCTGGCGGCACCCAGCAGACCTAGGGAAAGACACCAGGTCATGCTTTCGTGTGATACACGAATGGGCCAGAAGAGCAGTTTGTCATCTGAAGCCTAAACCGGGTTTCCTCTCTCCCACCAGGCTGTGGAACATTGTAAACGTCACGTGTGGAACTAATGCACCCTTCCCCTGGAACTGTAGCACCTTTCCTCCTTGTGTGTCTCGGGTAATGAGCACACAGTTCTGTGTGATTTTGTTACAAGCTAGGTTTCTTCCCCATTTCTCTCCCTCATCGCAGCATTGCTGTCCCATGGTGGGTGCTGCAGCCGCTTTCAGTGTCCTTTGTGTGCTGGAGGGCTGAGGATACACTGGCCCGCGGGCTCAGCTACCCTTGCATGGCACCTGCTGGGGGAGGAATTCTCAGTGCTGGCTGGGACCTTCTTCCAAGCCGAGAGGTATCCGGCTCTGGGGTCACCTCCTACCCTACAGAGGGACTGTCCCCCCTTCCTGCTGCCAAACAAAGGTAGTTTCATATGAAAGATTAGAAGCTCAGCATAAATTAGGCTTTGAAAGTAACGTAATTCCCTCTGTACTAGCACAACATTTGGGAGTAGCTATTGGTGGTTCAGAGGACACTGGTGGACAGCAGGGTTGCTGCCCTGGGTCAACCTTTGATTCTGGTCTCCTGTCTTTTCCTGTGGATGCCTTGTTTGAGGTTCTAGGGGCAGGGTGGGTGGGGAGGGGCAATTGCCTGACATAACCCGCTGGCTCTGCATTCAGGGCCCATGGGCCTGGCTTTTGTGTGAGGCCTTTGCATAGTGGTGATTGCTGTCTGCTCATATGTCTGTTGCCGCTAGGGCCCTGCCTTGTGCTTGGCAGGCCCTGGTCCCCTTCCCTTTCAAATCCACATGGATGACAAGCTCCTAAGCCTCTGCTTGGTAGAGGGTGACAAGCTGAGGCACCTGCAGGGTGGGTACTAGCCGGGTCTTGGCTGCTGCCTGTCTGGCCCCTGAAGCTTCTCTTCCATTTCTGGTTGCCAAGAGACTGCAAACAAAGCCAGCGAGCCAGCCATTAAGTGGACTTAGTGATTTTCATTTGTTTTGCACTAAAGTTTCTGTGATTTAACAATAAAGTTCTGTTAACCAGATCCAGGCCAGAGAGTTTCTATGACTGCCCTGAGCCCACAGGTTCTCCTGGCCAGGAGAGTGAAGCCCTGGGGTTGGGGAATACCTGGGCCTCCCCTCAGACCCAGGGCCAACAGCAGGTCAGGGAGCAGCTGAAAGCTAGCACACGCTGGTTTACCAGAGCCAGTATATTGCTGGGTCCTTTCAAGTTACTTTGTTTTTAAACAGACCATTCCAGAAACTTTCAGCGAGTACCAGTTCAACAAAACCAAAGGGGAAATATTGAGGGAATAATTTAAAAAAGAATACACACAAACACTCTACATTCAAAACCCAAGGGGATGCCAGTCATTTCTCTTTATAAGCTGGGCACATTGGAGAAGCCAGTGACGTGGAGAAACTGCTCGCCGGTTGCCCTTGACCTTGGCTGTGTGGATGGAGGGCAGGGGTCACTTGTGGCTACACCTGGATGTCCAGTGGGGAGATGGCAGGAGTGTGGCAGGCCAGTGTGTGTGTTGCTGGGCTCCTGCTCTGGGGGCTGGTTGGACTTGGATGGGGTGAGGAGGGAAGGGCCTCCTTGGCTTCCGCCCCGTGGAGCAGATCCTCGGACGCTTGGGCCCCAGTGATCCTCCTTACCACGTCCCTAAACTCTTAGCATTTTTGTTTGATTTTCATAAAAAAATAACATCTTATGAAGGTAAAGGTCGGATGCTGATGAGCATCTGGCAGAGTGGAATCTGAGCAGCCGTGTGGGCCATCAAGGCTGACCCGAGGCTGGCTGTTCTGAGACGACCTGAGGGCCTGGAAGCGGCTCCTGCCCCGACGGCCGTGCACAGTGGCGATCACAGCTCCGTGATCTCCAGGGGACTCTCCATGATCACATCTCGGAGCTTGTGCAGGGGCGTGGATTTGGCAGACTCAGTGCGGGCGTTGCGCTCAAAGGCAGTGGCCTCTGCAGTGGTCAGTGTCTCCAGCGAGCGGCCCAGGCCTTTCTGGTCATCCTCAGGCAGGCTGTTGAGATCGGTGGCCAGCAGTGTGCCTGTGCTGCCGTGGACCACGTGGATCCCATCAGGCCCCTTGAGCTCCATGGGTGGCTTGTGGCGGAAGCGCAGGCTACCCTGGCCTGGGCTGTGGTCCCCCGGCTCCTCGTCCAGCTCCGTCTGGATCAGCTGCAAGAGGTCAGGACCTCCCAGTGGCTCAGGAACCCCACCAGGTTCAAGGCCATGCCTGGGGGTGGGGGTGGGATGGGGGTGGCCCCAGAGTCCTACTGAGTGTGCACCCACTTCATCCCTATTTCACACAAAGAATGTCCCAGTAGGACTGCCACAGGGAATCTGCAGGGCCAGGACCACCTTCAGACAGCTGCAGAGGGAAACGGGGCACTTACGGTGCCAGCGTGAGTCCTCAGGAATATGACCCTCTGCCGAAATTTTTTTTGTTTTTTGGTACCAGGGATTGAACTTGGAACCTTGTACTTGTGAGGCAGGTAGTGGAACCATTGAGCTAAATCCCTGGCCCTGAAAGTTTTTGTTTTTTCTTTTTTGTTTTTTGCAGTACCAGGGATTGAACTCGGGACCTTGCATTTGCCAGGCAGGTGGGGCACCACTGAGCTAAATCCCTGGCCTGAAAATCTTAATTTTATATATTCACTTTGCTCAAACAATTCTGTGGCACAATGGTATCTGGGTTTGTAACCCCGCTGGCCTCAAGCATGACCAACTAGTCACGTCTAGGTAAAACAGGTCCTCAGGAGAGGTGGAAGGGGACAAAAAGGATGTGGTCAGGACTTGGCACTTTTGAACTTCTGTCAGGCAGGACAAAAGTTGACAGTGTGCACTCAGCTGGAGTTTTTTTTTCCGACAGGTTCTCTAGTAGCTCAGGCTGGCCTTGCACTCACTGTGTGTATTCCAGGCTGGCCTCAAACTCACGGCAATCCTGCCTTAGGCTCCGGAGTGCGGGGATCACAGGCACACTGGCCGGAGACTGGTTTTTAGATAAAGTTTTTGGTAGATGTTGACACTGCTGTGAGCACACACAGCTGGCCCATTTGACCCTGCCAGCCAGTTTCTTACAGTGACATCAGCTCTCAAAGGTACTTGAGGTTCCTGGAATCTGAGAAACCCCTTCTGGCCCTGCTCTCAGTAGTCTTTGGCCCTGGCTACTGAGCTCAGGACACTGAGGAGGGTGGCAGTAGTGAGAGAACATCCCCAGAAATGGGGCACAGCACACAGCTCCCGCCCGCAGCTACCTCGGAGATGGAGGAGTGGCAGGAGGAGGCTTTTTGCACCATCCGCTGTGCAAAGAGCTTTTTGAGCCGCAGGTAATCCTCCAGGACCACCTTGAGCAGCGAGCCCTGGGGGAGGCAGAGGGTTAACCCACCCCTTGTTTGCTTCCCTGGGAGGTGGGGGCACAGGCTTGGGGTCCTAGGGCAGAGGATCAGAAGCAGAGCTTGGTGATAGCCAGCTAGAGCCCACAGGGGCTCGTCCCAGACCAGTGCTTAGCTCCAGCGCCCGGCCTCTCCAGGCCCTGCTGTGCTGACCCCCTGGGGCAGATCTGGTTGAGTTCCTGCACCCTCGGGAGTGGGGTTCACATTCAGCCAAGGAGCTGAGCACAGAAGCCCCCAGGGAGGGCTCACCTTGATGGGACCCTCGCGAATGATCTGGCCCAGCTTGGCAATGTTGTCGTACTCCTGGATGGCTGCCCGCAGGTACCGGTCATCGTCAGGCTTGACTGCTGCTGGTTCACGCCCAAAGGTTCCCTGGGGAGAGGGGACACACACAGTAGGAGCCATTCCCAGAGGACCCAGCTCCTTGGCCAGAGGTGGCAAGGAACTGCCCCTCTCCAACCCTCCCCAACACCTGCCCGGCTGCCCGGCTCACGTGGGTGCGGGTGGGGCTGTTCCACAGGTCGGCGATCTCACTTAGGTTCTCGGGCAGGTCATCCTCGTGCTCAGCCTGGGCAGCCAGCTCCAGGTTCCGGCAGAAGGGATCCAGCCACACTGGGTTGGCGCTGCATTTGCAGGGCAGGGAGTAGAATAGAGTTGGCCAAGAGGAAGGACAGGAATGAACAGATGCCCTCAAAATTGAAAATTGCCACCTTGCTGGTGGCACCTGTGGGTGCATTCCCCACTTTAGGAGTCTGCTAGAGCAGGACCGTGTGTCAAGTGTGGACGGCTTTGGCATGGAGGTTTCACCCTGCCTCACCTTTCACCCAGCACCCAAAGTGTGTGCCTCCTGGAACGGGAGGTCTCCCGAGTGGGTCGGGAAGCCTAGCCCTGCAAAGCAGTTTCCCCCAGGTTTCCACAGGGCCTAGAGGCTGCTAGAGACTGGCTGCAGGGTCAGGAGCCCACTCACCCGTCGAAGGAGTACTTGTTAGTGTTGGGCATGTCCATGATGTCAATGAAGCCGCGGTTCCCTGCGGGGAGAGGGGCTGGCGTGTGGAGGAGCCCCTCTGGCTGCACCCCGCCCTCTCCCACCACCACCACAGCCCACACTCACCTGCAGAACCCGCCACAATGGCCTTGAGCTTCCTCTTATGTCTGCAGAGAAGCACAGAGAGGCGCTGTGAGGTACTGGGCTCACATCTCAGCCTCAGCCCTGGCTCGGGACAGGGGCAGGTCACTCACACGGTCCTGTAGTACCAGTTCATGAGGATGAACAGCATGGCCGCCAGGAAGAGGAGGATGGCCAGCACGATGATCGCCATCTGCAGGATGAGCAGGCCGGGCATGAACAGTGGGCTCAGGGCGGAGCCCAGACCCCTGGGAGGGCAGTGCCGTGGGTACCTGCAGGGCGGACATGTCATCAGGCAGCCGGACAGAGATGGCGGGCTGCACATCTAGGACATTGTAGTTCCGGAAGAGATTCCGCAGCTGCTCCTTGTTCTCGTCGATCATCTGGATCACCCTGGGTAATGGCGGGGCTGTTTCCAGCTCAATCCTCGCCCAAGAGCCAGCAGCCAGGACAGCTGTTGCCTGCCTGCCTTGACCCCCAGAATTCACCCTCTCCCTGAAGCCAGGCAGGCACAAACTCTGCCCTGCTGGTCACCCTGATGGCTTCCAGGGACCCCAGGGTTTCATCTAGGTCCCATTCAGTCCTCACAGACGGGGATACTCCCATTTAACAGATGGGGAGAGTAAGGCTGAGGGACCTGACGGTGTCTGGCGTCCTTGGTGGGTCCCCTCCCCGATGCCAAGCACAGGCCCCACCCACCGGTCCACATCCAGGATGCGGTTGGTGTCACGGTTCACCACATGGATGAGCAGCTCTGTCTGTGCGAAGTTCACCCGCCCCTTCTTGTCCACATGGAACTAAGGAGAGAAGGGACACTCGGGATGTGTCCACAGGCCAGGGGCCAGGGGTGGGGAAAGCTCCCAGAAGCGCCGATACCCTGCCCTGCAGAGGACCTAGCACCACTGCAATGCTCAAATGTAGTTCCAGCGAGTTCATCCACACAAGGGCACGGGGACCATTGTCAGCCCCCATTTAGAGATGAGGAACCGAGGCCCGAAGACCTAGGAGAAGGTCCTCAGAACCACACTGCCACAGCTGGGCAGGCACACACACTCTTGCGTGGCCCTGACCTCACCACCATACTCCTCTCCTCTTAGTCTGGCCCCTCCTTTTCCTTCCCCTGCCCCCAGTCCGGCGTTGGTCCCCTGGGCACCTGCACATCATCGGTGTTGACGATGGCCCCAGTGATATTGGACAGCAGGCGGATGAACTCCTCCTCGAAGCCCCGAACACGGTCAGGGATCTCGTTAATGACGATCTTCACGCGCTGGTCGTCCCTCAGGATGTAGATACCGATGATGGCCGTGTCATTGTGGCCCGCCAGGTCCCGGGCCACAATGTCCACTACAAAGTAGCCAGGACTGTAGGCCATGAAGAGGTCGAAGGTGCGCAGGATGCCGTCCATACTCCCTGCAGGAAGAGCCCGAGAGCAGCACAGCTCAGGGACCAGGCGGTCTCCCCACTTACCCTCCCAGAAGGACCAAGAGCCCTGTGGACCTGGGGACACT